TCCTCCGTGTCCTGTGCTCCAAAGCCTTTGATCATCCTTCAACACAACCACTCTCACTTTCCTCCACTCACTCACTTCCAATTCCTGCCTCTCCGTCTCGGTAAGACGTTATCCATCCATTTACTTATCCACCTGATGATATGATATGAAGCGGGCATGGTCATGGTGTTGTAGTAGAGATGTGCATCTCTATATCAGCTTAGTTTATCTATCTGAGAAGTCTGGACACGTGGTAGGGTCGTGTTCTGAAAAGAGAGGAAACATTATGTCGGAAATCGATAAATATTTTTTTCCAAAAGAAACACGTTTGTAATTTTATGAAGAATTGAATTACTACGAGATTTTTTACATAATTTGATAAAAATCTCTTTCATGAGTCGCTATTATAATCATCTATGTGATGGGTCATATAATCTATGGGTGATTTTATGTATGCAATAAATCTCAGTAATTTTAGTAAATTAATAAAATTCTGCAATTCGGGAAATATTTGCATTATTATAGTTGTCCAAAAATCAAATGGTAATACCAATTTACGGCGAGATATATTTCCACAAAAAATATAATCAAATTACCAATTATAATTTATTATTTGAGTACAAATTATCTATATACAAGCATATAATTAATAATAATTTATATGTAACGTATATAAACGTGCTCCCACCATAACTCAATAACCCACAATAACATCTTATCCTTATATCCAATATCTCCCACAATGACCTTATTATTCTCAAACGCTCTTAAATTATTTTATTAAATATTTACGACCGTAATGCTTTACAAACATTACTACCAATCCGGTAGTAGTATGTTATTACCAAATCAATACCAGTACGGAGTATATCTGTGACTCTGCCAAATTTTGGACAATGTGCAATTATCTATGTACGTATTTGGATATATTTGTACCTTTTTGCGAGCCTTGATGCCATTAAGGAACATTTTGCAATGTAAAATAGCCTTTAATTTAGTTTAGGTGACATGTAGGCCTCCATATATTTATAAATTGCATTTACCCATTAAAAATTGCGGGTACATTGTACATTACAGATTTCACGATATCTTCGAGTGAAATTCGTACATATGTACCTTCACGTTTAACTTGATTGAGTAGTCCGTAAAATATTCGGTACTTTACGTTTTAAATATTTATGAAGGGAATAAGAAACTCAAAATTTAATTATTGTCTCATAAATATTGAGTCGTTAGGGACACCTCGTATTTCTTTGTAACATGTATTAACCACATTTTACAAAGGTGCATTGAACCTAACTATATGAATATTGCACATTTTGCGAGTTTTGCTGAGTAACCTAATTACACGAGCGTTACATAATTCTTAGCCTGCACTAATCCCGTTCCCGCCTACACTTATGGGGCGACGTGTCCAATTTCTAGGGGCAAGTTTTAATTGTTCTGCAGTCTGTAAAGGGTTCATTATCATTTGTTCTGTGAGATAAGAGTTGTCCAAACTAAGCTGAGAGGCGTGGAGGAAAACCAACAAGTTAAACTTTCTCTTTTCGAGAAAGTGGCAGAGAAAGCACGACACTGTTTCAAAAGTGTTTCGTGACTCTTATTAATTCCGTTGTGCTAGGATGTGGGGGATGAAGATGTGAAAGGTCACGTATTTTTAATGGATTGGCAAAGTCTGGCTGGAGCTCATTTCGTAACACTGGAAGTGAAACTAGACGGAAAAAGTTGTCATATCCCGAGCCCGATGTTTCAAACCGGTGTCGGTTATCGGAGACAAATAATTTACTAAAGTGCCATTTTAGTATTGAACAAATTTCGGTGATTTTAAGATAAAAAATCATTTTGTCCGTAACAAAAATTCAAATTTGCCACCATACTACATGTGTATAGAATAACTTTCTAGAGGATGGAAACAAATTTATATTTCACGCTTTACAGAGACGTAAACAATTTTACCACATTATTTACTCCATATTTCATATATCGTTATTTACATCTTATTTGGCTTCAGTTTCACCTTCGTCGACATCAATTCGGCATTATTGGTGTATTAGCTCTATTAACAGAGCCGGCAATAGCGTGAAAATTGAGATCCGCAATTTTCGACAGGTTATGTAACCGAAATTTATTTAGTTAATATACATTATGAAGTGGTTTGAACTTGGGAAAATGATTATCTCGATGATTAACAGGAAAGAAATACACCAAATATACAAGTTTGGCGGAAGAATCACGTAAAATTTGGCCATTTTGCTTAATTGTTTCTGAGAGTGTACCAAGTCAAATACAGGAAAAAATCTACGTCGATTTATTTATTAACATAATGTTCAAATTTTTTTTAATGGCGTGGGGATCATATAATTTTTTTTAATCTGGCAATATTCCTGTAATTCATTTTTCGTTATAAATTAAAGAACACTATTTACTTATGAAAAGTTATGAATCGTCTGACAGAATCAGTAACTTTGGCGAAAATTGTGCAAAACTTGTTTAATATATTTTTTGTATCCAATTTTCAAAGAATATTGATCCATAACCCCCGCAATTCTTTTTCGTTCCGTGACATTTACATATTTCTCAAATTTTATTTTACAGATCTAGTCCTAATGTTCACCCTATTATTTCCGCAATTTGCCTAAATTCCACAATTCTGGTTGGGTCTAATGAGACTTGCCGGAAAATAATAATTCCCCAAATTACATATTAGCACGAATTTCGTATAATTTTTCGCATAAAATAAAATCCTAAAACAATTCCGTTTTACATGTGCTTGATTTTGTGGGATTCAAATTCCTTGAAAATTCATCACGTTGTGGTTACGCATTGAGGTTAAATAATCTCGATTCCATACTTTCATTCAACATCAGATCGAGAAATGGGCACGTTTTTCTGGCCGAACAGTGCCATCAAGTGGGAATTCTGCCTGGTTGGAATTTGAATTTGATTTCTGAAACGGTATAAATGGGATATTTTCCACGATGGTGATGGCGATGACAGTAAAAGTTGTACTTGTTCTTTCCCCTCCTCGGTAATAAACAACACGACATTAAATTTTACAATGGGAACGAGCTCGTTTCATTCCTTCGACTCAATCACAGAGCACAATTCATTCAGCCAAAGTTACCAGTTTACCAGCCACTCCGCTTATTAGGCAATCACCATCCTCGTTCGGGACACTCTTAGAAATTGGATAAAAACATCATGATTTTCGGGATGATTGCGGGTAGAAAGTGGATTTATTTATGGTCTGTATTAAAATTAGACCTTTTCCATGTGTTTCTTGTGCAAAAAAGGTCGAATTATAAAATACCAACCATAATGACAACATTTACCAAATTATTTAGGGTGTTTCCACTCATTTGTAACATTATTTCACATGCAGCAGGATAATTCTAAAACTACAAGTTAACATAATTTTGGTATTAAATTGCTAAGTTGTGTTACCAACTTTGCCCTCATACTTTTGAAAATTTCAGGAAATTAAGCCTTCTACTTATCCCTCATTTTGAAGAGTGTGCCAGCTCAAAAGGGAGAAATGCTTTACAACCGAAACTAACAATAAAGTTTACTTTCCCACACAACACACCCTCCATTTCATTCATACGCATCGACACAATTTCGGTCCAATTGCGATTCAGAATTGGTTTGTGTATCCCTTATACGCACAAATTGGAATTTGTATAAACTAAACTAATCTAAAAGTTTTGCTTCGGTTACTTACTTTATGCAGTGAATTGTGCTGGATAAATTGGCTTAATAAACACAACATCATGTTAGCTGATGAATTCGAGTCGTGTTTATTTTATGACGAACTGTGCGTAAAACATGTTATTGATTTACTGGAGGAGTGGGCTCACATTTCGTAAAATTTTTGCGGAATTTTTTGTAATGCATACTGACTCATAAATTAAAACTCGTAAATTGTCATAAATTCACATGAGTGTTTTTAATGTGTGAAACCTTTGAATAATTTTGTGAACGGATACACAAAACACAGCGATATGTGTAATAGGTTTCCGATACATTTGAAATCTGAATTTTTATAATCTTCACTTAATAAATTTGTAGAAATTTTTGTAAATTTTTTACGTGACTCGACTGCTCATATTTATTTGAGTGTCAATCTTTTGTATAGTATGGATGCCGATAAGTTAAAAATTGGAAAGTTTACCGCGTATAACATGCCAAAAGATTATTAATTTAGATCACGATATTTCCAAACTTGAGGATTATCTGCATCCTTATGAATTTTATTCAATTACAAACATTGACTGATTTTATTCATATTTAAAAAGTCATGTTTTTTGTCTTATTTGTAACTAATCCGGGAAAGATTTAATGTGTGAAATTAATTTCGAGTCGTTGCTATTTTCCTTCCCTCCGAAGCACTATTACGGATAACCCGTCAAGTTCAGAACTATCAATAAATCATTTCAGTTTCATTCCCCAATCGTGAATTACGATCTTTAAGTCGAGGCCAGACTCTGTAGTTGTTTTATTCCTGCTTTATTACACCCTATCCGTACAGAATACGGTCGTCTGGGCTTCACTCTAAATAAAATGGTAATAAAATTGTCACCAAAGTTCACTTTTCTTCATTTAAGTTTATTTTAGTTTTTGGTAAAATATGGCAGACCTGTAAGCGGAGAAAGTTAAAGTATTAAAATTTGAGAAATTCATAGTTTTATTAAAATTATTATATTTCATGCACTTGTTCAAATGAATTTAGTTCAATTTATGAAAATACACTAAAGGTGAGGTGGTTTAAAGGACTCATATTTAACATTTATTGGTGTGAACGGTAGTCAACATTTATATTTTTTGATGGTATTTGACGTCATTATGAAACATTTAAAAAATAAATGAACCAAAACTTGATAATAATAGATTGGTGGACCCATGTGGACTTGCCCATGATTAGTATTCTTCAATTAGCGGAGAATTTTTAAGTTGCGCAGCTCATGTTGTTTTATAAACTGCATAAAATTAAATAAATGAGCAGATTTTAGGTTCACTCTGAGTGAAAGTGTTTCATGTATTCTTGACTTTTTTATTTTTCTGTTAATTTCTCCTTATGTTACATAAGTGTTGTTGCAGAATTAATGTATTTACTGTTAATTACAGTAATAGTAATTATGCATGTACATATTTCTTCACTTGGTGATGTGCATTTATAACAAAGTGAATGAAACTAGGTTCTTTAAACGCCTCATGTTACGCGTAGTAATCAAGCAGAATTTATCATTTTAAATTTTACGAACTTTTGATGTCATGAAGAAATATTTATAATATAAAACAGCTAGAATTTTAAGGGTTCAGGAACAAATTAATTAATACCAATCCGGTAGGAAGTTATTACCAACTCAATACCGGTCGGGAGTATAGATATGTAACTCTACCGGATTTTTAATAGTATCGAAATTGTACGTTATATGTACATAGTGTAATTTCAAGTTTTTTCAATTTATGTTTATCACACGCTTGGTGATAACAATGGATATTTATCATTCACCTACTTATCTCGCTAAAATATCCCATCCTCCATCATTTCCCTCGTGACTTCGATAAGCCTCTCCTTAACCGTGTTATTCGTCCCAGCCCCCGAACACAACTCGATGAATGCCTTCTTGACATCTTTGTCGCCTTCCATGTCCTCCCAGTCGGTCGCTTCGCCCTCCTTGAGTATCATAGGGATACCCATCATGGCCATGTAGTAGCCAAACAGCTTTGCTCGGTGGAACCGAAATCGGAGTGAATCCATGCAAAATCCGGGTAGCGTTGGTGTCCTCAATTTTGCACAAACGCCGTTGAACGTGTCGTGGTAAAGCTGGAGGAGGTCGTCGAGGTATTTCCGTCGGAATTCTAGGGTCGTGCTAAGATAGAAGATGTACTGGAGGTCGGTCATAACACAAGCTTCGCCTGGCTTCTGGAGGTCGATAAGAATTACTTCCACGGGTTTTCCGGTCCCGGGGTCGTATCGGAATAGCATATTGTTACTCCAGACGTCACCGTGACTTATGATCCGCCAAGGTTCTGGGGAGTAAGGAGGAAAAATTAGTTGAAATTTCGGTTTGTCAACTGAGCAATATTGGTATTGCTAAGAATAAAATTTTTCAAAAAAAGTGTGCTCAGAAACATGATCTCAAAATTAATCCTATACATATGTTAAAATATCGGTTCGGTATGTACCTAATTACCTTCTTAGAAATCCAGTATTCAAATAATACCAGGCGGTATTCATATATGACTACCAAGTTGGTATTGATAAATAATACAGTGTAGTAATAACCCGGTAATAAAGTTTTACAATATTGGTATCAAATTTTTACTGACCGGCATAATTTTAATACCAAGTGGGAGCAACTTTAATACCAAGAAATCAATACCAGCATGACTATACCGGATTTCTAATTTACATATATGCGTCGGACGAATACCTATTAATTCTTTTACCTGGATTTTCTGCATCTCTTCCAAACTTATCTGAGGACGTTACACGCATAAGTTTCTCAAATCCTTCCGCCGTACCACTTCCCGTAAACATGCTAGATATCCTGTCAATCATGCCAGAAAACTTGTCTGCTACAGCAGTATAGGCATTTTTAGGGCCAAACTCTTTGTCATAAATCCCCTTCGCTTGTTCCAAATTAGAGCGGACGACATTGCTAAAAATTGCAACGTCTTCTTCCGACATGTTGGTCACAAAGCAAGGAAATTTCTGTGTAATATTTTCCTCCACGTGATTCCGATACGCCCAACTCACCGAATGCACTTTGGCCAAGGCAGAGATGACGAGTTTCATGTGGTCAAGGTCGAGTGGTTGGCGACGGTCGGTCATTCGAAAACCGTACGTTTTTCGGAGGTCTTCCATAATAAGAAAGTTATCGAGTGAGCTGATCAGTCCGGACTTTCGAGCCTCACCTTAAAATCAGAACACTTTAAAATGCTGACGTTTTTTTGCATGAAATGACTAACCTTCCTCCGACTGAAAATCGATGCATTCGCCATACACGAATTTCGCATAGGGCAACTTGACAGCTTCCTCCTTATCCAGACCAAAAACTTCTTTTTGCATTCGACTCAATGCCGGCATCCATTTTGAATACACTTCACACTCTTTGAAAAACAAGTTCATCTTGTTGGTCAGTTCTTGTCGGGAGGGGTGGTTCGGATAGCATTTGATTAGAAGGTGACGCTTAGTTCCGTCCGATAAGTTGACATCAACAGAGTAAATGATACTTGCATAATTATCCCCCAGTTTCGATCCAGGGGTGGCAAGATAGGAAATAATTTCCGAAACAGAACCTCCCTTCGCCTCCATTTTTAGGGCATTTTGCAAAAACTCGTTAGTAATTAGGTCATTGCAGTTCGTTGTGGGTAAGTCGGTGGGGCTGGTCGATGGGTCCGTTTTTTCATGGGTGGGAGACATGATCGAAATGTGAATGATAAGCACAATATCAAGTTAGATACTGGCACAATGAGCAACTTTGCTAAACTACTGACAATATTTGGCAGCATGCGAGTTAAATACATAAATATTCAGCGTAAGTATAATTATTATCTTCAGATTTAACCATGTACATAATTTGTTTATGATTCAATTGCATTGGTTTGGTGTACTGACTGATCTATGATTAAAACAACCTTGACCATTATGAAAGATGATGCAGCTGGATAGATATGTATGAGAAACGCCAGATCACATGAGTAGCATTGAGTAAAATTTATCATGTGAAATTGTAAAAAAAACTTACACGCTTATTGTATAATATTCATTACATAAACACCATTTAACATAGATGATCTTTTTACATAACTCAATTTCATATAAAAGCCAAAACTGATGATTGGACAGGCCATAATCATGCATACAAAAACCAATGGACCTTTGGACATGTTCTAGTATCTCATCAGTTTATTTACTATGTAAAATCTGTTTAAAAATCCGAACCAGTTGAGAAACTTTACATAAAATATCGAGGAAATCAGCGCAAAATAAAGTCAAGTTATTTCCTTTGTAAGAAAAACTTTTACCTGATCAATGCATTCTCAGAAAGGCTGCAGCCAGCAGACAATTTTTTGTGCAAGAATTTTTTAAGTATGCAGTATTCCAGGGAAAGTAGAAAAATCGAGATGAAAATAATAAGAAAGTTTTTATTAGGAGATATGTCCAAGGTTTGGTCAAAGTACTCGCCCCGTCCGCCACGACGGAGACGTAGGATCCACACTAAATAATTTGGTGACAATTTGTTACCGAGTTGGGACAATTTTTGTGAAGAATTAATTAGATTTAATACGACATGCAGATAACAACATTTGTTAAAAAATTACTTCCATTCGGTAAAAATTTCGTTACTAAATTACAAAATTATTTATCTAGTACACCGTGTACACGTGAAAATTCATTCAAATTTGAATCTATCATTATTAAGGGTGCACCAAGATTTTGTCGTATTTATGCCCCTGTCATTTTAAAGCAGCGTCATCGTCTCCTGTCCATATCGTCCAGTCGATTTGATTCCCATTGTTCTCTCCCCATCGCTGACGAGACGACTACTCCTCTTCCTCCGTCCGTCGGTGGATTGGATAATCTCACTAATTTGCTTACTTAATCCAACCACGTGCAACGAGGGTACACTTCGGTAGGCGAAACTACTGTCCAGAGTTGGACAACAATGACATATCGTCAGCCGAGAAGAATAATAATGACCACGTATAACATTCCATTCGGATGGAGAGTCTCTAATTTGGGACCATGTCATCCGTGGTATTATGGAAAACTTACTCCTGTAAATCAATCTCTGGCAGTAAAAATAATATCGCGACTGGGCCGAACCTTAATGATGAGACGGTTGATTTCGCTTCATTTGTAACCGTGAGGTCCAAATGATGCACGTTTTTGATATTGTTTTTCGTGAAGGAGAAAATCCACCAAAAATTTTGTAAAGTACGTTTTTGATACGACGTAATAATTTCTATGATTTTTATGAATACTTTGATTTGAAATTATGACGTAATTAACGGAGTTGGTTGACAATACTATCTTGTCCAAAGTTTTTTTAAATTGGTTGCACAAATTTGTAAGTTTAAGGATTTTACAATGTTACCAAAGGGGATTGAATGTTTTATTGAGAATTTATTGAGAACATTAACTAAACAAAGCCGTATGTAGATCGAGGTCAAAATCTTTTTCAATTTAATTGCATTTAAATCCATCTTTACATTCTAACTTTGCTTAATGGCATCTAAGGCTTGCATAAGTTTTGCGTGATATTGTGTTTTAAACGCCTTGAATTTCATATGATTCGTTGTAAATTTGAAACTGTGTGCATTTCAGATTTGTAGAGGACTTTCTCCACTGAAAGTATTTCGTATTGATCAAAGTAGAAATCACCCTGATTTGAAAAAAACGCATCTACTATATTTATTTTAAATCAAATTTCCACATAAAATGGTAAACGGCGTACAACTAATATTCCCACATTTGCATAACCCAACTCGTAAGGTTCATTTGTTTCATTGAATTCGATTAATTTGATTACTATGACGTGTTAATTGAACCGAAATTATAATTTTAATTAATAAAATTACTTAATTAATTGGTAAAAATTCCGTTACAAAACATCTCTTCACCAAAATTATCGAAACCCTTCGTTAACATCTCCTTGGCCACTCTCATGGCCAAACCATAAGAGGGGATTCTCTGTTCTTCCTCTTTGAGGGCCCCATCTCGAGCATTCGAGAGTACTTGAGGTCAATTGTTCCAATTTCACGTTTTACCATTCTCTTGCTAATTCGAAATTTGTTTCACTCAGATATACCAAAATGGTATAAAATGAGCAAACTAAACTGTAAAACATGTCACTCGCGGATCGGACTTCGGCAGCACCGACTAATTTGTCGGTCATGCAATCGAGCCCACCACAAAACCTGCCACCCACTCGTCGGATCTTTACAGTCGGGATATTCAATCTCAAACGTGAAACCCGATTGGATTTGCCCTATCTGTGACGAAATTCCGGGTCATCTTCTTGGCGACCTTGACTTAATAGAGGATGGACTATTTGACGATAAAGTTCTGGATGATAAGACAACAGGAGAAAGGATAGTTTGTGAACGCATTCCCGCACCGGCGTTCACAAAAGGTCAGATTTACGGCCATATAAATATAAACAGCCTGATTGGGAAAATTGATGATATGCGAGAATTCCTCAATGAAAATAATTTTTCTTTTTGTGGAATCACGGAGACACGCTTACACGAAGGAATTTCAACTTCGGAATGCCAAATAGAAGGCTATCGATTCCTTCGCTTCGACCGCACATCGCGACAAGGAGGAGGATCCGGCATGTACATACAAGAAAATCTTCGATTTCTTCCTCTTCACTACGACGTTGCCTTTCCACATGAAGTGGAAATTAACATAATTCAACTTTTTCAAGACTTCTCAAGACCACTCATTATATTAATTTACAATCCTCCACATATCAACAAAATGGATTTTATCGAATGTTTTGAATCGTTGTTACATTTAGTTATTAGAGATAAGACAGATTATGTCGCCTTAGGTGATATAAATATTGATTTATTAGCCACTTCGTTACAGAGCTGTAGATTAAATAGCTTAGTTAACAGTGTAAACTCAATTCAAATAATTAAGGAACCAACAAGAGTCACTCTTACGTCACAGACTCTTATTGATCACATTTATGTTTCCTTTTCTGATAAAATTAGGCAGGCAGGTGTCTTCTCCGTTACCACTTCAGACCATCGGTTTACATTTTTTGTTAAGAGAAATAAGCAAGTCAAAAAACCGTCAAAAATAATTGAATTTCGTTCTTTTAAGAACTTTGATGCACAGATGTTAGGTAAAGAGTTAGAAAATTTGGATTGGAGTGTAATTGAAAATTCTAGCGATGTTGACTCACAATTACTTTATTTCGAATCCACAATTCTCAGCTATCTAGATGTATTGTGCCCCATTCGTAAAAGAAGACTGCGTGGTAATGCTGGAGAATGGATGGATAGCGAATTATTAGATTTAATCAGGAAACGGGATGCATTGAAAAATGAATTAGATAAAAATCCAAGTTTAGATTTCAAACGAGAGTATAACAAACTTCGAAATTATGTAAAAAACTGTGTATCCGCCAAAAAGCGACAACATTTCAAAGATAAATTTTCAAAGTTAGACTCTCAAACGATTTGGAAGACTTATGATGATTTAATTGGAAGAAATGTTAGACAGAATAGCGAAATTCCATTTTTAAAAGTTGATAATGTTTTAATTTCTGACAAGGATACTATTTCCGAAAATTTGAGCGATAATTTTATATTAAAGAATGATACCCCATCCAATGTAGAATCGGATATCATTAGCTCTGTGAAGGCTGATGCCTTATTTGACAACGAGAACTGTATAATTAGCAAAGAAGAGGTAACCAAATGTATATCAAAATTAAAGCTTAAGTCTTCGCCAACAGATAAAATTCCGATAAAAATGTTAAAACCTCTTTTACCATTTTTAGTTATACCTCTAGCTATGTTTTTTACATCAATCTTTTCGACGTGCAATTATCCAAAGAAATTTAAGGAATGTACAGTCTTACCGTTATATAAGGGGAAAGGTAGCTTGACCAATGCGAGTAACTACAGACCCATCTCATCTCTTCACTCTCTCAGCAAACTTTTTGAATATTTATTAAAAACTAAACTTATGAAAAAAGTAGAGTCACTGAAGATTCTTGATGATAATCAACACGGATTTAGGAGTGGGAGATCATGTACTACGGCATTAACTTGTTTCTCGCAAAATATTTTTAATGAATTGGATGTACCAAATAATTTAGTTTTCGTTGTATTCATTGATTTGAAGAAAGGATTTGACTCACTAAATATTAACCTACTAGTGGTAATGTTGCGTAATGTATTTTTGATACAAGGAAAACTGTTACTTCTAATTTCCAACTATTTAAGAGATCGATTTTATTTGATAAAAAATGGTAAATTTATGTCTAAACCTTTCATAGTTAACCGGGGAATTGGCCAAGGTTTTGTGTGTGGTCCAAACTTGTTTATTCTATTTTTATCAGATATTCATGTAGTTCTAAAAGTCTGTTACTACACTATTTTTGCCGACGACATTTCCTTTGTCGTCAGCGGAACTAACCCAAAGGATGTTCATGCAAAGGTGGCGTCCATTTTAATTAAACTAAATGAATGGTTTATTGTTAAAGGACTGACAATGAACTGGGAGAAGACAAAATTTATGATTATTAGAAAAAAGCAATGTAAAACGAACGTGAATAACATCTCTAATATTCTGATTAATGGTAGCGAAATTCGTAGAGTGAATACTTATAAATACCTAGGGGTTTGGATCGATGAACACTTTAGTTTTAAAGATCACGCTGAAAATGTAAAGAAACGGGTGTGTGTAAATATTGGAATGATTCATAGATTTAAAAGGTATATAACACGACATATGTTAACTGTTCTCATCAATGCCTATGTAAACTCAATAACGGATTATTGTATAACAATTTGGGGTCCGTCTAGTTTAGTTACATTTAAGGAAATTCAAGCAAAAACAAATAACTTGTTAGCTATATTCTGTTATCCACGACTCACAAAATTTTATAGCAAATCGTTCTGGAAAGGTAAATCTGACAGAAATGAACTGAAAATTGCCAAAATTGAATGTAGAAAATTGCATGAGAAAGTGAATTACAATGTTTTGCTCGAACAATTCAATCTGTTATCTATAAATGAGCGACTTAATTACTATGCTATTTGGAACCTTCATAAAAAATCAAGAAATTTGGATCAACCGTTGACCAAATTAATACAATGTTTACAGTGAATAGCTCCGGACATAATACTCGTAGTAGTCAGAAGCTACAAGTGATTCAGCACAACTCCGAGTTATTCACAAATTCAGTCAAATATTTCAGTACTAAGTTATGGAATAGTTTGTCCTCTGCTACAATAGATCAAATCTTAGATTCTGACCCAAAAACTGCAGGAAATGTTCGTTCAAGTTTGGTAGAACATGTCATAAAAAACCGTTATAATGATGCATAAATAACCGCATACAATAATAATTAGTAGTTTTGTAAGGAATAATGTTCGATAACGCTTTGAATGTCACGTATTTTAGTATGTATTATGACTTTAACTAAATCTTTCTTCTCCTATTTTTTCGTGTTACTTGATGAAAACCAGTCATTTCATGTACTGATCGAGAAATAACACATGAATAAATGCTAAACAAACAAACAAACAAACTTGTACACATTTATCTTAAAGTTTTACACATTTTTTACGCAATTTCAGAAAACCCGCTCAACTGCGACTGTGACAGTAAAGAATTGTGGGAGTGGTTGCAGGCTCACCCGAAAGCATTTTCTCAGCCCGGCTCCCCAATCGCGTCGGCCCTCGCGGCGGGTGGCGTCGGTGTGCCGAGCAGCCGCACCCCCTCTGACGGGGCCCAAAATCAACCCAACTTCATCTGCGAAAGGCCCGACGAATTTCGTGGGAGGGGAATTCTCGATTTGGATCTCGATTCATTCTGCTCGTCGCCAGCCATTGTGAAATTGGCGATTCAGGTAAACTTAAAATTTTCGTAATTTTAATTTACCTAGATTACAAGGAAGTTTTGCAGAAAAAGTGGAAACATATTTATTTCGAATGTAATCCTCATTCATTATCAAGACATGCATAGAAGAAAAAAAAAACGAAAAATTATCTTAAAAAAATGGCGAATTATTATTAACTATAATTATAATTGGTCAAGGCATCACAATTTTGGCAAAAAATGCTAATTACATTCATACATATTTATTCATTTAGGAATATGACAATTTATTAATTATTATTGTTTAACTTTGTCAGAATTCTGACCTATTCAAAATAAATAATCTGACCAGGAAGAATAATTTCTGCCTTTGACGTCTATATCTAACATTTTTTTTAATTGCGTCCAATTTCTAATTAATCATGCGTGTCTTGATTATCATACCGTACAATTTCATAATTTCATAAGACAAATCAGGTAAATACAGTAACATAGAAATTGTATGCGCAAATTGACGTATAGAAAATTTGCCACGTTTTTCCAGATGTAACGTGCATTTACTATTATTTCATATTTTACTCGGCGTAAAATACAATGTGAAGTGTTCAAAATGTTACTGCCGAAATTATGTCGAGTTTTTTTTTGTGTTTATCGTATAAAAAAATGAAAATTTTTGAAAGGGAACAAATACGGTAAACTCGCTAAAAAATATGATTTGTTATCAACGGTAATCCATATCTTTTTACTTTTACTTAGATTTTGGTAATAATTTAATACCGTAACTGGCGTGAGCATCTCACAAATTTAGACATGTTTTCACCCAAACTCTAAAATCTATGGATAAATAGCTTTGCTAATTTTTAGATTAAGTTTTAACTCCTTATCTTCATTATTTTTTACAATTTTATTTTAATTAAATTCCAACAAGGTAAGTATGTCGCGCAGATTGAATTTTTAAAGCTGGCAGAAATACATTTCCCAAAATAATATCGTAATCGGCAATTATATAAATTTTGTAAATTTTTTTCGTGAAACAACACATAAAATAGTACCTCTTTAAACCAATACTATTCTGAAATTTAGTTACTTAGGATCTTTTCAACAAAAATCTGAAAGTTTGCAAAAAAATATAGAAAAGGGGAGTCCTGTTTCAGATCTTAAACTCGCTCTCAATTTTTTATCATAATTTTTCTACAGATTTTTATAGGTTATGAAGACCTGAATGAATTTTCTCTCCAAATTGAACATTTTCCCCTTAAATCGGCAAGTTTACAAAGTATAGTATTCAAAAATCCAACTTCAAAAATTCCAGTGAATCTTACTTAATTAACTAAATTTACCGCTTTCACCAACCGAATTAAATCCATCTCTGGAGAAGTGCGTAATCCAAGCTTCACCAAATTTAACAATGCCGACACACCTTTCAATTCCTCTTATTAGTTAAGATCTCTACTTTGGGACCATGCATTAAATACGTGCTCAGAAAATTGTTACCCAACGCTCTCATAAATCTGGTAATAACCATTACCAGGCGGTGACTATATGTGACTTTACCGGCATGGTAATAAATTTGTTACCAACGGATAGTAAATTTATTACTACTCTGGTAATATATTTTATCTTTCTGGTTGCACGTATTCATAGCGAAGAACAAATTTACTTCCACTAAATAGCAAATTATTACCAGGGCGGTAGAGTCACATATGGTCACCGCCTTGTTACCAGATTTTTTTTAGAGTGGACACATGTCGCAGCATATAATTAATGGATAATTACTAATTAATTATAATTAATTTAATGGATTAATGCATCTTGACTCGTACCACACCTACTAAAATTTTGCTCGCATCCTTTCTACATGGCCCCCAAGCAAGAAGTAATGACGGCTCAATTTCTTGCCCCTTTGATTAAGAAAGTTTCCCACTTATGGATCATTTCGTTTCGCTTCTAGCCCGTCTAAAATTCATTTTCGGATGAAGAAATACAATAACAATGTTTCCGAGCGGGATTGTTCTGTCGAAATAGGTTCAAACTTTCCTTCGTGGTGGGGAGAATGGAGTGAAAGTTTCAATTTAGTCGAGGAAATGGAAAATAGAATGATTGAGCAAGTTTTATAGTTTCAAGAGGACTACGGATTTGTGGAGAGTATGGATATATTAATACACTCTAAATAGTTAGTTGGTAGCAATTTGTTATCGAGGGAGGGGTCTGATTACCGATTTGGTAATAGTTTTTCCCACCAGTTTGCTTAGAGTTGAAATAGTTGTTACGGGTTTGGTTAAAAAAAATGTAAAAATTTTAAAATATGCACAAATTGTAAAAGTCTGATAGCGGTTTGATAGTTTATTAACCGTACCTTCACTTTTATTGATTTTATGATCAATAATACTAGTGGCACTAGATTAAGATAGATCTGATAAAATTTTTAATGCTATTTTGATATAAAAATTTTAAAAATTTTGACAATAATTTTAATAATTTTGACAATAATTTTGTCATAATACTCAATGATTTTACCTATTATTAGGAAACTTAAGTTATTTGTGGGTTTAATGGTAACGTGTTTACCTCGTAAACTCTTGTCTAGTACTAGTTGCCCGAGGATTTGGCAATATTTTACTGCCAAATCCGTTTTAGTTATCGATATGGTGACACCCTCTCATTTCCCAGCGTAGCATTATCGTACCAATTACCCCTAAATTTAAATCTGGTTACAATTCTGTATCTTCTAGCAAAGTCTTAATCTATTACCAGATCTCTGTGGGAGTTATAACACTATTTAAAGTGCACTCACACCGGTTGATTGCATAACTTGATCTCTTCCATGCTAAGGTTGTTATCTAGCACAAAATCCAGTTGGTTAGAATCAGACACGTGGCGCATTTATGTACGAGTGGACATCGCAGTTCTTCCTTCCTTCACCTGATTAGATTACCTGTAGATTCCATCACAAATGTAAATAATTAAGTGGGTTTCGATTCCACTAAAGTTTCCTGAAGTGTACAATGAGTTGTAGACACGACAAAATCTGTCGTTGATGTGACTGAAGTAAAAAACTCCATCAGCGAAGTTTAGCGTTTAAAATACTGTGCAGTTACAATTATACAATTTTTCAGGCAACAAATCAAGCGAAGAATCTTTTAAAATTATAGTAATTAGGAAAACTTAATAATTTTTACAGTGTCGCCGAAATCTTACATTACTAAATTTTGAGATTTTCCAATTTCCAATTTATTTCAAAATTTTGCTTTTTGTTTGTGATAAAATCGTGTAATAAAATTATCGCAGTTTTATAAAAATATTTCGCATGAAACCGTGAACGAAGATGATTTTCTCACAGTTTTAGATTTGATTGATGCTACAAAATTACTTTGTTGCTAATTAATTCGCCACCAAATTCTAATTTAACATGGGAAATGAATCCCTGGGATCTGTGGTAATTTAGGAAACTTAAATTCAGTGACCAATTTTTACTTAAAAAATTAATTCTTACTTCAGTAAAGCGTTAAATAAATTGGGTGGACTCAGGATCAGTGATCAACTTTTTTTTGGTGCCACACTATTCACACCGTAGTTTCCTTTCCCTGTGGAAATATATCCTGATTTCTGATTATCTTGCCATTTCTTCTGGCTCATCTTAAAAAAAATTATGTTTTTTTGTGACAAATGGATTTCATTCCAAATAGCATAATATTTCATTTGATAGGATGCTTCGTATTGATAACTCAATACTCATACTCAATAATCATATATATATATCTTGTGGATAATAACTATTGGCCAAGCTTAATTAAAATTTCAATGTCGCAGAAATCCCACAAAACCAACAAACTATGAAGTCCAACTATTTCTGAAATTTTATAATTTATGTTATCACTTAATTCAGTGAAGTAACACAATGTCACCCACTTTTACACAGCTCTCTCATGCATTGTGGTAATGCTTTGATGGCATTAATTCCCCACCAAATTCTAACTTGTCATCCGGCTGTTTGGAATTGAGTCCAGTGCCGTGGTAGAAAATATGAATTTCTTGAACAATTGTTTATTTAAAAATTATTACCAACGAGGATTAGGTGACATTTTTTGGTGTCACATTATTCACACCATGGTTTCCTTTCCCTGTGGAAATATATCCTGATTATTTTATCATTTTTTTGACTCATCTTGAAAAAATTGATGTTTTTTTCTTCATGTGATGAATGGCGGGATGAAATAAGCCCAATTTGTCAATGAAATCCTTTCTTATTATTTTCCGCAAGCCCTGCTGAAAAATGGTGATAGTGCGGGAAGAAAAGTTCAAAAGAGGGAGTAAAATCCTAATCTCGGATTCGGGGATTTCATAATTCTTGATTCCGCCGCCGCAACCCTTTCGTGTTGCTACAAAGATGGATGGATGGGATGAAGTGAAAAGCTTAACTTTCTCCGAACGGCCAAGGTGTCGAGAAAGTTATCAAAATGTGAGAGAAAGCTGTACAATTGTGGTCGATCCAGACTGCAGGGTGCAGGGTGCCATTCGACTCGATTTTATGTTATGAAACGAAACGTGTGAGAAATAATCGAAGATTTTTGTTTAAATTTTCTCAAATTGTTATCACTAAATAAAGCTTTTGCAATTCACTCTGGCCCAAATTAAAAAAAGGAGACAAATTCACGGTTTTTTTGTTAACTGTGTAAATTTTATATGTGCGGCTATGGTACAAAATACACAGATTGAGTTTAGAATTGATTTGCAACTTGATTTTCGTTCGTAACATGTGAGAAACTGGTAGGTTTTATATCATTACAAACTTCCACGTGAATGAATTGCCATATTAACGCAATAGGATCATGATCATGGTACATCATCTTATTTAATAACCTGTTTATGTAACTGGTCTTTTAACTTTCTAATAAACCGTTGCAAACGAAATGTAGCAAAGGGGTGAAAACACACGGAATTGTCTTTCTGCAAGCCCACACCGTCTTTCTGCACTTTCCCGTCATTGTCTCACATTACCCCACGTCTCATTTTGCCCCGTTTTCTCCCCCC